CTTCCGATCTATTACTTCCCGGTTCCCTAGCCTCGTGCTTCTAAAATACTTAACTAACTTTCTAGTCACGTGTGTGCTAGTGTCAATAATGTCAACATTGCAGTTAGAATTAAAGATTTATGGTTAGGATTAGAGATTTATGGTTAAGATTAACGACTGATGGCTTAAGCTTGATATTGGGATTAGGGGCTTAGTGTCAGAAATCAGGATTAAGATTAGGATTAATAGGGATTAACTAACTTATGCAACTAAATTCTACTCCCTTAATAGTATAAAGGCTGTGAGCACTTATATACTTTCATACCTATAATAGTCTTGATTAAAGAAGCATGCCCAGGACAGTCGACCAAAGTAATCTGCAGCACATCATACGGTTCTGATTTCAAGTGCTCTGGTAGCGGGACAGCGAACGAACTGAAACCGAGGTCCAACGTGATTCCACGCTCTTTACTCTGTGGGTTTTTATCAAACGAAGCTGTAGATGCTGTCGTACTTAAAGCTTTCGATAAAGATGTTTTCCCGCTGTCGATATGACCTAAAACTCCAACATTAAAGTTTAAAATTCGTTGGTTATTTTCCGCCATCATGGTCTTCTTTCCAAATAACTTGATACTTCATGTAATATTACGATGACGGTTTCACGCAGTCACCTGCATCTAAAACGCGTAAAAACGCACAAGTTTGTTACAAGTCTGTTCACAAGCTGTTAACAAGATGTATTCGCACTGCTTGTCACAAGTTGTCAACAGGTTTGGAACAACTTGTAACAACCTTGTTGAAATTATCAGACTTGTTGCAAGGTAGTTCTGACAAGTCTGTGACATGCTTGATGTAACAAGATTGTTACAACCTTGTGTTGACAACCTTGTAACATCCTGGTTATATCATGGCTGTAACAAACTTGTTAGCACAATCTTGTAACAAGGCTGATAATGCCATCAAGTTTGTTACAAGTTGTTAACAGCTTGTTTCAAACTTGTTACAACAAACTGGGAACAAGCAGTGCGAGCACAACTTGTTGACAGCTTGTGAACAGACTTGTAACAACTTGTTTACAAACTTGTTAAAACTTGTGCGTTTTTACGTGTACTGATAAACAGTCGCGGATTAAAACGTCACGTGAAACTTTCATGTTTGTCAAGATGTTTATTCGGTGTAAAATCCAAAAACAAATTTTTCTTTTATTAACATTTAGTGTGCTATAATTATTCAATTCAATAATAGTCAATAATTATCACAAATCGTCTTAAAATTCCCCGTTTAACGGTCCGGAAGTCATTACACTATAATTTAACAATCATATTATACAAATTCATTCATAGTTTATCGTATCATACAAATTCGCACGTGCAGTCTTACTTATCAGTATAAAAAGACTATTCAATTGTCGTATTTAAATTCTTAATATATACAACTGTAAAGTTCTATAATAACATTTTAGGGTATCCGAATAAAACGGAACCATTACGAAAATAATTACAGCCTAAAGGTCAAACGAGAATGAGAGGGTTAATGAGAATCGTTACTGGAGACATAGGCTCATAGCTCTAGGCTCTACATAACAAAATAAAGGTTTGAATATGCTTTAACTACGATTTAACTTGAAGAAAATACATGATAGTGTTGGGAAAACATTAAGCCCTGGGCAAACTAGGAAACATTGTTGCGAAAACGTTGTTTCCTGCTAATGTTTCGCCATGTTTCCCAGAGTGGGCAAACACTAGGAAACATTAGTGAGAAACATAGGGAAACATCAAATGTTTCTGAAGTTGGTAGGAAACATATTTGCTTCCCGGGAAGCAAATTTTGTATCCGCAACAATGCTTCCACGGGTGGGCAAACAGGGAAACATTTGAGGAAACAACGAGAATCACAAATGTTTCCGCAACAATGTTTCCTAGTTTGCCCAGGGCTTTAAGGAACAGGCTAACAGCTAGCCAAGGTCGCGTGACTGGCGACTCTCATGCGCTCTCATCCTCGTTTCATCCGGGCTTATGTATTCTTCTCCTATGATCCAAACACATATGGTCACGACTGGCAGTAAATGAGAAAATATTGTTCCTTTCATTGTATAGTAGTCTTGTATTTGGTGACAAATATACAGAGGAGAAAAAGTTTAATCATGGGCGTACCGGCGCCAAAAATATAGCGGAGCGGAATATAAAATTGCCCGACATTCATTGTGACCTTCCCCCTGTCGACCAAATCTTGTTGAAATTTGCAAGTGTCTCAGATGCAAAATTACGTTATAGTATGCGCTATGTGCACAAACTTATGAGTCCCAGTCTTCGTGGCCTTTCCTCCACTAAGATGTAAAAATACTCAACTCTCGAGTAGAACTTGCCCGACTTTTAAAATTTCTGTCAAAATCCGGTACGCCCACGAGTTTAATTTTCTCGCTCGTATAAATGTCAACATTTCTTTAGTTGACTACTTGTTGTTTGAAAAGAGCACATTTGTCGTCTTTTGTTATGTGCGTTTTGTTTTTACACACGTGTATATGGTTAGTTCACGAAGCCGCCACGGTAATGTCTTGGCTATTTTTAACATGAAGTTTTTCAAAACACGTCTTGCACACTCGGACGGGATCGTAATATTGTTCGGAAGGCACCGGGGTCATGTCGTTACAACACGAACCGCAGAACACTCTGCCGCAGTTTCTACAGAAAAGAAATAATTAATATTGTCTTTATTGGTGATCAGTGCATGTTTCTTTAATCTTTATTTCTGTGACCAAGGTTTGATTCCTGTAATATGCAGTCTGATTATAATTTCACCTCAGTCACATGTGAGAAGAGTGCTTCCAGTTTGACTCTATATAACACTGCAGGTTTTCTTCAGGTATTCCTGTCCAGTGGGTGCGACTGAACTTGATCAACAAGTAACGACCCTTACTAAACCTCAAGGCAGAACAGTTTAGAACTGGTAGAGCATCCAGTATAAATAAAGTTAGTTTAGGTTTTAGGTTTCCTCCTGTAGTAACACTGGATCAATAAAAGATGATCCTTACTGGACCTCTAGAGAGAAGAGTTTAGAACTGATAGAGCTATACAGTATAAATAAAGTTAGTTTAGTTCAGGTTTCCTCCTGTAGTAACACTGGATCAATAAGAGATGATCCTTACTGGACCTCTAGGGAGAACAGTTTAGAACTGATAGAGCTATCCAGTATAAATAAAGTTAGTTTAGGTTTCCTCCTGTAATAACACTGGATCAATAAAAGATGAACCTTACTGGACCTCTAGAAAGAACAGTTTAGAACTGATAGAGCTATCCAGTATAAATAAAGTTAGTTTAGTTTAGGTTTCCTCCTGTAGTAACACTGGATCAACTAGGAACGACCCTTACTGAACCTCAAGGCAGAACAGTTTAGAACTGATAGAGCATCCAGTATAAATAAAGTTAGTTTAGTTCAGGTTTCCTCCTATAGTAACACTAGATCAATAAGAGATGATCCTTACTGGACCTCTAGGGAGAACAGTTTAGAACTCAGTCTGATAGAGCTATCAAGTATAAATAAAGTTAGTTTAGTTCAGGTTTCCTCCTGTAGTACACTGGATCAATGAGATGATCCTTACTGGACCTCTAGGGAGAGTTCTATTATCTTACCTACAATGATGTCTTCGGTTAGTCATGCTAAATTTTAGATCACAACCTTCACAGCTGATTGCGTGGTGGTCTGGTAGCCACAACACAGGAGTGACATCCTCGCCATCAACTCGTTCCCAGCTTCCATAGGTGTCTGACGCGGCGTTGCTGGATAGAGAGCTTGAACCTTCAAATGTCGGCTCTAGGTTCGCCACCTGGAAGAGAAACCCAATTACGATAAATTCATCGCCTCGTATCTTCCGTCTAAAAACGGATTGTTTGGAACTGAACTAAACCAGTTTTATTCAAGTCAATCAGTTTGTAACTTTTCTCTCTAGAAGTGCAGTAAAGACAATTTGTTCTTGATCCAGTGTTACTACAGGAGGAAACCGAAACTAAACGAACTTCATTTATATTGGATAGCTCTGTCAGTTCTAAACTGTTCTTCCTAGAGGTCTGGTAAGGTTATCTCTTATTGACCCAGTGTTACTACAGGAGGAAACCGAAACTAAACGAACTTGATTTATATTGGATAGCTAGGTATCAGTTCTGAACTGTTCTTCCTAGAGGTCTGGTAAGGTTATCTCTTATTCATCCAGTGTTACTGCAGAGGAAACCTAAACTAAACAAACTTTATTTATACTGGATAGCTCTATCAGTTCTAAACTGTTCTCCCTAGAGGTCTGGTAAGGTCAAAGCACTCTTACCACATGTGGCCGAGGTGAAATTATAGTCAAAAAACCTTTCTTGCTTATATCAATTTAAGCTATCAGCTTACCATATTCTGCTTCATGTTAACCTTCTGGCGAATTCCACAAACACATCCCTGTGCTTGCAACTGTTCCACCAATACCCCAATTTTCACCAGCTGTGCTTGTGCCGGATCCACCACGAAAGAGAGACCGTCTATATCTAAACATTTTCCCAGTTTATTTACAAACAGTTCTTTAGGAGATTTTGGTGTTTCTTCAAATTCTCTAAAACTGTTGCCAACTTTTGTAGTGTGATTTTCAGTATGGCTTGCACCTAGCCCATCTTGTAGTAGCATCGTCTCATCAGTGATATGATTTAAACGATGGTTTGATCTGCAGTTTATAGCCTTTGATACAAGTCTAGTCTGTGACATTTCTAAGCCAGATTCTGAAACTAGCTTTCCATTTTGAATTTCAGAACCAGCCACCTTAACTTCATCTGTATTAGAAGAATTACTGTCTTCAACTATCGTATTGGAACTACTAGTCATACTGTCACCGAGGTCATTACTCTTCTCTCCTTGAACCTGATCAAATGCTGTATTCTCACAACTATTCACACCACCATCTGTTGCTGGTATTCCATTCTGATCAACCACTGTATTCTCACAACTATTCAATCCACCATAATCCTCTCCTAATATTCCATTCTGATCACTTGAGTTATTCTCACAGCCATTCTCCATTTTGTTATTACACTCTGTTCCATTTCGATCAAATGTGTTATTCTCATAAATGCTACCTATATCCTCACTAGATTTTCGATCTAAGCCGTTAACCAGCAAACCTTTTGAAGGGCTCATGCTAGTTTCCGACTTACAAACAAGAGGTTTCGTCAGGTATAGATCGGAATCGTCTCGGGCACCCGAACATCCCACAAAGTTCTCATCGTTGCACGAAACTTTCACGTCTCCGTCAGAATTCCGTCGTACAAGGTTCGGACGAGTTTCGGGCTCAGTTCGTGAACAGTCGTTAGGAAATACTTCCTCGGTATTAAGGACAGTATCACTCGAGTTTGAAGACGACGAATTGCCAAAAAAGATCAGTGGCGTTGACAAGTAGAGCGAAGACCACAGTAGAATATTACGAACTTGATATTCAGGGTATAACACCTAAAAATATTTCAAAAACTCAATTGTATTCATTTGCCACCAAATACAAGGTTGACCTGCAACATAGTGCTTGGTGAAACACAACTATACAAGAGTACAAGACTCACCTTTTTCTCCCTGGGTGAATAAAGGAAATTTCTGCAGTTTCTTGACTGGCATTCAAGCATCGACCACACTGAACATGTTCTGTGTGTAATGTTGGCTGCCAGTCTCTCTTGTTCAGTGTTAAATAGAAATGTACCATATAGACAGGAGTACGTATGGTGGACCAGTTTAACCTGGAAGAAATAAGCATATGGTAGACAGACATAGGTGGGTGGGTAGATAGGTAAGTGGATGGGCAGGAAGGTAGGTGGATAGGTGGGTGGATAGATGGGTGGATAGGTGGGTGGGTAGTGGGTGGGTAGGTAAGTAGGTGGGTGGATAGGTGGGTGGATAGGTGGGTGGATAGGTGGGTGGGTAGTTAAGGTAGCTAGGCAGGTTGGTTGGTGGCTTGGTACTTAATACTTACAGAAACATAATAACTGTAGCCACCCAAACCACTTACCTACCTACCTACTTTACTGTCAACCAGCCTGTGAAACAAGTACACGACAATTTTTATCCATACCAGAAAAGTTTCATTGAATTCAAAAGAACATGGGAACTGCCTCAATAATTGATGTACACAATCCAGAAACTGCAAGAACACAGGACATCGTTCATTCGGATCATATTCTTGACAGCTATGACCACAACGATCTGCAAACTTGTGACCAAATGCTAGCCACTCCCGTTCTAACAATACACGAAATCCCTGCAAGAGAGAAAAAGATAAAGTAGTAAAACATGTCTTGGTTTGCACCTAAAGAGTAGAAACTCTTCTAGCAACGTTCGTCCTTCAATACACAATGCAATATAAGAGTGTTCACCAAGGGCAGCAGATGGAGGTCAACCTCCAGTTATCGAAGTGAGAAAATAATGTTCATTCTTTTCATTATACCATGGATAAAATAAATGGATAGGAAACTTCTGACGTCATTGACTGCATCCTTGTTGAAAAATGTGACGTCACGCGTATTGCGAATGTTACCAAAGTTCTCGGCATTTTTGTTGTTTTGCTATATTTTCCACTTTAAAAGGGTGATATTGAAGCGTAAACTGGTCTAATTGTTTTAAAAACATGCCTAAGCCACGACAAAGTATTCAAGGTACATGTTTTTCGTCTTTGTTTTGTATTTTTTTACATTTGTAGCTACGAAATTGGCGTCACAAATTTTAACGAAATTTGCGATGTATTTTTCACTGTTTAGTGCTTAAAATATTTGCTAAAATTGACTGGGAATACTTAGAGTTTTCATGGTAGAATGGTGTGGTTATATTTATTTGCTCTTTGACTAAAATGTTTAGCTGTATTATTGCTAAACATGCCGTTTTTGAGAATTTGATTTTCAACTAGGTTGAGGTGTGGTTGAGGCATCCAACCACGCCATCAATCCCAGTAAAAACATTAGGTCACGTCAGCTAGTTTCCTATCCATTTATTTTATTATCCATGATTATACCTAGTAGTCTTTTATTTGGCGGCAACTGAATAGAATTGGAAGACGTAGTTCACCTATTCTTACTACAATAAACGTCAACATTTCTGAAGTTGCCTATCATCTGTTACCTCGAAACACAAATTGAATGCCATCATTAAGACCGATTTATACTTCACGACTTTTGCCTAAAACTGTCGCATCCAACCTGCTTACAACTTGAGTGTTGGTTGCACTGAGTAGATCAAGCACATAACTCACTTGCGTTCTCGTAGGCAAGTTGTGTGCTTGATTGTGTAGTGTAAATCAGCCATTAACGAGGTGAAACGAACCTTGATTGTCCTATAGAATGGATCCAAAAGCAGTTCGGCTAACGCAACAACTTGTGGCGTCCTGTCCCACCCATCACTGCAATGTACAACGACATGTTGTCTTTCTTGTTCAACTGCTTTTACGACAACCAGCGCCGTCTTTATTAAAGATGAAATATGTGACAGCCATTTTGTCGCTTCTAATGACGCCAGCCAGCTAAGGAAAAAATATCCGGTGTAATTAACAATTATTCGACGAAGGCGAGGTGATTATCGGTGAATAAAAACCGAGACAAAGTCGAGGTTTTTATTCACGATAATTACCGAGCCTGAGGTGAATAATTGTTAGTAGTATAATTTCATAGGTGATTATTTGGAAAAAAGATAAAAACTTTCTTCGTCATTTACTTGACAAAATGGCTTGCCGCCATTTTGAAAAACTCTTCAGGTAATTATCGTGTTATAATCACCTCATCAGCAACCAATCAGCGTGGAGAGTTTTCAATAATCACCTATGTAATTATACTAAATAAAGTTAGTTTGTTTATCTTCCTCCTTTATGGACGTCTAGGTTGAACAGCTTCGAACTGATAGAGTTATCAGTTTAGAGAGTTCTGTTGATCCAGTGTTACTAGAGGAGGAAATTGGAGTATTCAGAGAAAACCTGTGGTGATTTTTTTTCTGTGTTGGTGTTGTGTACTCAGGTGAATAATATGATGTTTGTGATGTTACTCTTAGTGTATATCCACACCGGGCGAGCTTGAAAAATATGCCTGGCCACGGTGGGAATCGAAGGTCGTAGGATCAAAACCTGTGCCTGCGTAGCAGTCGCTTTATTTCGTTTAAGGTTTTGAGGATTTTTGAATAAATGGCGGGTCAGAAAAAATGGGCGGAGAAAAAAATTGCGAGAAAAAACGGGCGAAAAAAAAAATCGCTTTATTTTGTTGAAGGTTTTCGCCTGCCTAGCAGGCTAGATTCAAACTAGAAGCATTCTTCTTGGACACCAACAACTCTGCCTCCTCCGCAGGCCCTCGTTGCGTCATGGGAAGGTCACGATTTCGAGAGGGCCTGCGGAATCTTGTAAAATGAATAAATGTTGTTTTGAACCTGCTTCGTTAAAGAAGGCAGTTTTATTCATGCAACGTTGGTGTGGATAACAAACCTTATCGTTAAAAAATGCTTCCTTCCACGTCCTTAGAGTCGCCAGTTTAATTTACACACCGCTTTTTTATATCTGTTTATATTCAAGATTATGTAGAAATTTACTTGCTGACGTGACGCCGGCGCCATTTTTTTTACAAGATTCCGCAGGCCCTCGCCAGATCGTGACCTTCCCATGACGCAACGAGGGCCTGCGGAGGAGGCAGTCAACAACCTACGTTGTACTCACTCAGTTTGTTCCTCTTCTTTACAACACAACTCACGCAAAGATTGAAAACTCTTGCGGATGGTGTGAATATTCGCCAAGTTCATGAACTGGATCTTACAGTTTGGGTAATAATCTGTAAGGAAAAACGTGCGGAAATTTTACAGTATCCACGGCAGCTTATTATATGTACTAGGTAGCTTAAGGTACACCAAATCTACGACGCGGACGTGACTGAAAAAAACTGCCGCTATTATCACAGTTTCACTTCACGTGTAAAAACTACGGATTGTTGTTGGTAAACAAAGCCAGGGACACGAGAAAACAAAGTAAAACTAGTCTCCCATTATTAGCGACTGTTTTTTAGTCGCGTCCACGTCGCAGATTTGGTGCATCTTAAGCTCCTTATCACTAGATTAAGAAGTACCAGGATTTTGGGCATCAACACTCGATATAATATAAATTGTAGATGGATTTTGTAGCATTTACCTGTACATTCGCTGCCACCACCTTTGAAAGCTCGGTTAGCAAACGCGACATAATAAGAACGACAGTCGACCACCAACACTTTCTTCTCAACTCCATTACAGATTGGTTTTCCGCTCAACTTGTTTTCTTCTAGAATGTAAAACGGTTTTATTTATGCTAGAAAACTCTATCAGGCCGTCCATATTGATCCAGTGTAACTACAGGAGGAAACTGGAATAGTGTGCCTGGTTTTTGGTTCAGTGAAAATGGAAGCACTCTTCTTCAATGCGACTGAGATGAAACCAAAATCAAACAACTCTATATTGTAGGAATCAAAGCCAGGTCACAGTAACCTGCGATCAGGCCTATAAATAAACTAGGAGTTACTATCGCAAGGAAAATGCTGCCGATATGTACATGTAGGATGTGCTACAAAAAGAGCGTTTTTCACTGTATGTATGATTTATTGTCTTACACATCGTCGTTCCTCAGTTACCTTCGTACAATTATATCTTACATCTAATCTTATGAAAGGTATATTTTAATATACTTAACAGTGCGACTTTGATAGTTGACACATAATATAAATGATAAAATGTGAATATTATTGAATGATTTTGTCACTCGTACAACTTTTAATTTGGCTATTCAAACAATTGATTTAAAATAGTTGAATTTATACTTACTGGGATGTTATTGCTTATTGGGATGTTGAAATTATGTTTGTTTTAAATACATTTAATTGATATTCCATAAATTCATTACCTCCGCCAGGAGGTTATGTAATCATCTGGGTTTGTATGTGTGTGTGTGTATGTGTGTGTGTATGTGTGTGTGTATGCCTGTGAGGACGATAACTCAAGAAATACCAAACATATCCGTACGAAATTTTGTGAGTGCATTTCCCATCGGCTAAGGAAAAACTGATTAAAATTTGGTTGAATTTGGTTAAAAATTGAATGAGAAATAACAAAAGTTTGTCTTGCTTTTCCCGGTAATTAAATAAAACTTTATACTGAATGCGTAATTAGGACGTGCATAATATATGCACCAGCCATACAAATTCTAATAACAATAGATTACTTCAATAATTTGCGCTAGGCGGAGGTATGCAGTCTCTGAGCGCCCTCTAGTTTTGTATGATTTCATTGACCTTGACGTTGTTCAAAATCGTTTTGTATTGTATTGAAACTGTATGTCTATGACCTATGTTATGTACTATATTAACCCATTGAGTCGCATTGCACCCTGATGCACCCTACTTTGAACAGTATTTTACTCTGTCTACCGCCAGACGATTTTACTCGTCAAGGGGAGAGTGCTGGCGCTGAATGGGTTAACACGCCCAAAATCTGTACTAAAACTGCTAATTCTGTTTTGTGATTGGCACAGTTTAATCAAAGAATCCTCCCGTTGAACCAGAGCCTTCACGATACTTCAATTTATTATTAACTGAAGGCTCTGGAATCCAGGATAGCTTGCCATTGAATACAGTGCAATGCTTATATTTCTGAATGAATAAGATCATACTCAGAACAGTCAGAACTGCAAAACTATATTGTTAGAAAGAAGTTGAAGTTGTGAGCGTTATTGTGGTAACACAGCCATATGTATATATCAATGTATGTCAGTAGAATCATGTTTATAGGCTTTATATATAACTGAGGCAGTCTTATACAAGTCATATCTTATACAAAAGTCAGTTAATTGATATGCTATATTACATGTAATTGCTGATAAGTCCATATATGCAGACAACAATCCACACTGGGTAGCTCTAGGAATCTTGTTAAGCCTGATTTAACAACATCCCGCGTTTGTTTTTAAACTATAAACATCTAGAAATAGAACATACCGAACACTATTATATACTCACCGCCTTTGGCTTTGCACATATTAAGTGACATAACAAACAAATAAACTAATAGTTCATTTGCTTCTTGTATCAGCATAAAGGCATTAATCATTACTGTCGATTTGGTCGGGAATAGATCAGTGATTCAGTGGGTATTATAATTGCCGATATATTCTTGAAATCATATTGTTTCAATGCCTCTATATCGAAGTTTAATACACTAAAGTAACTAAACAAGTATAAACAGCAGATTTAAATATAAATGCCTTCATGTATTATAAAATATATCACCAGACAGGTAGACAGGGCACACGGCACGACTACATCACTATACGAGAACGAAATAAAGCCATCCTTACCTGAATTATTCAAAATATTGTGATCATTCTTGCGCCAGAGACACAAACTAACACCGTGCTTTATTTACCCATTCATCTTCACAAATATTACTCGGAATTTGTATGGAAATTCGCATTATTTT